ACTGGCACAAAACTGTTTGTTTGTTTGTTTTAAACTAAATGCAAAATGTTATTTTTTTGAGAATTTTGATATCGCTCTAAATGTGTCGCTCTGTGAGCTAAAGGCATGTAATACGGTTCAGTCTGTTTCATTATAACCAGAAGCGGATTTAGGAAATTTGGGGCCCTAGGCAAAGACAGGCAGGGGGCCCTCTCAATTGAGAAGACAATGCATAAAACAGACCCATTATTCTCCCTTTTCTTGTTGTTTTCCTCTCTACAGTATGTTTTGTTCTCAGCTGATTTTTCATGCTGTCTCAAAAGGAATGAAAGGCTTTTCCAAGCACTAAGCTCACTTAGCTGATTGCTCCTTTCTGTGTTTCCAAAAAGCTTATCTGTTCTCCATTTTTCATTTGGATGAAATAATATCTGCATGAATCATGACAGCAGACAAGATAGAGGAGAGCAGGAGGCGGGGTTACCAATCTACTTGCTCTGGAGAGCAGAGTTCGCTGCTTTTAGATGTTGTTGCCAAAGTCTCCACTAGCAGAAAAAAGTCGCTAGATTTGGCGCTAGGCGCTTCTTTGAAATCAAAATGCTAGAGGGGTCTGAAAAGTAGCTTAATATAGCGACAAAATTGCAAAGTTCACAACACTGCTCTTGGCATTTTTTGTTTTCAAAAGGTTTGCTGCTATCTGTTTGGACCTTTCTTCACGCGCACAGTAAAGCCAGGCATACACTGTGTGATTTTCTTTGCCCTTTTCCGGATGACTTTCCAGTCGTGCCAACTATTTTAATTGGCCTGACTTTCAGCCTGATCGTGCATCGTGCAGAGAACAGGAGGTAATGAGGGGCGATCAGCCTCTCACGACCACCTCCCGATCAGGAATCTGTTGAAAATCATGTTTGATATTCAGTCGGCTGAAGGTGGTCGTGGGCAAATCGCTCAGTGCGCAAACAAGGATTCTTCTTCTTCTGAGATGTGGAGGTGAGAATGAAATGGAGTTCTTTCTGTAAAACTAACAGACCGTAGTAGCCGGATTTGCTCAGTTATGTATTTGTCCAAATAGGTCGTCGCCTTTTCTTTTTAGGGCTTTCAGCACAAAATTGCACAAATTACCAAGGCAGCGCATTTCACTCTACAGAGCTTCTTTGTCCTTTTCTACTCGTTTGGCTTTTGGATAGACGATTCCGAGTAGCGCCATCTCACTGCGGAGCTGAGTCCCACCTGGTTTATAGATGTACGGTGTGAGCAGGTAGATCGCATCAGAGCGTCTGGTCGCACAGTGAGAGAACAAACATCGTGAGCTGTGAACTTTTAAACCCTGCGGTTTCGTCATACATTGTGCTTAAATGGACTGATCCAAAATGGTGGACGCTGGGGGGGGGGGGGGGGTTCTGAGACACATTTTATATTATAAATCTTCTGATGGCATTTTATCAAAAGGATTTTTATCAAAAACTTAATTTATGTGCACAAATAAGGAATAGTTGTATTAACTATACAGGTATCCAGAGTTTTATGGGGCCCCCTGGAACATGGGGCCCTAGGCACCTGCCTTGTATTGCCTAATGGTAACCCCCCTGATTATTATAACTATGGTGGCCTTGTGGTCCAACAGAACGCGCAGGATCCAAGTCATTGCTGGAAACGCATCTGTGATTGATTTTAGAGCGGCTCTGTGTGCCCTCCCACTGCGGTGATGGTGATGGTGATGGGGGGGGCTTCCTGCCAGATGTGCAGATGAACATGTCCAGCCTGCACATCCGTATTTCAGAGTAGTGCGGGTTTTGGTGTTGTGTTTTTTTTTTTCTCAGGTTGCGTAAGTCTGTCTCTGAGCAGGAGGATGGAAGGAAGCGAAGCGGATGAGAATGAGAGCTGCTCGGTGTGGAAACAGTTTCAGGCAAAAGCAAAGCCTCTGCTGAGTCCCAAACTGAGCGGCAGAGAGCCGGACGATCAGAGCAAACGGAGCATGTGGATGTTTAAGAAAACAAGGCGGAAGGAGACCGTGGCTTTGGACCGGGTCATCTCCTCCTCTCAGCCCGACCTGCTCTTCTCCTCTCAGGAGGTTCCGATCAGCGGCAGAGCGGCCGGGAGCGGATCCCTCCTCGGCCGGGAGAAGATGCACTCTTCCATCAAGCGCAGGTCCACGGGCGCGTCTAAACCCACGGTGGCTCAGCTGGTTCAGTCCCACCATAAGAGCTCCTCGCTGGGCTCTGCGTGCCTGGAGAGGCTGGCGGAGCCTCCGAGCGGCAGCCGCGCGGAGGAAGGAGCCACAGCGGAGGAAACACATCTGGAGGGGAGGGAGGAGGTGCAGGCGGTGAGTCCTGGTTCGGTTCGGTTCGGTCTGCAGACCCCGGGATTAATGGAAGCTTTGATGGATGTTTTTAAATGTCAAAGGGGGAGGATGTGTTTCCAGGAAGTAGGAAGATCTTGGTGTTAAATACCACAATCTAATAAAACAGCCTGGCCAGCCTAACTAATAAAAACACAAAGTCAAGTCCTTTTAAAGTGGAAGGCTGATGGCTTTATTTGATTTTTTTATTCATCAACCCAAAGCTCAGTCTGTCAGATCAATACAAAACTCAGTTTCCTGATTTATTTATTCACTTATCTCAACAATAAAACAGAAGTGCTTCTGCTGCAGGTTTCTTCCTGTTAAAAGGGAGTTTTTCCTCTCCACTGTCGCTACAAGCATGCTTAGTGTGAGGGATTGCCTTTTAGTCAATGAGTCGATGCAATCAACTGGTTTTCCTTAGATAGAAAACTTTGAAACAATCTGACTGGATGATCTGGTGAACTGTAAAGTCCCTTAAAATGACATGTTACTGATGAAGATTCTCAGTCATCCAGGTCATAGTCGTAGCCGTAAAAGTTCAAAAAATATCCACTATCCTTCCTACTTCACGGAAACTGGAGAGGTGGCGAAACGTCTTCAAATCTTGGAAACCAAGTCCAGTGGATATTTTTTCGAACTTTTACAGAATCACATGTGTTGTTGGAGCTATAGAAATAAACTAAATTGAATTGAAAACACGTTTCCATGAAGTAGGAAAGCAAAACATATTTTTTTATTTTTATTGATCAAACGAAAGTTCAGTCTTTGAGATCAATAAGAAACTGAGTTTCCTGATTGATTTATTCATTTATCAGAAAAACAAACCAATGAACTGATCTACTATTGTCTAACAAGTCCAAAAGGGATTTACTGATCAGCCATTCCAGCATCAGGTTGTTTTTCTTTGTAAACTACATGACTCAGGGCATTTGACTGTTTGAAGACCATCCAATGTAGATAGTCGGGGTGTAAATCTCACCTATCATGGCGATTTGATTCAGTATCAATTTCGTGACCCAATGATTTGATTCTTTTCGATACTCACGAATACACCACGATTCGATTAATAAGTTGATTTATTTTTTTTACCTTACAGGCTAGACAATGTTTCAAATTTAAAATAAATCATTAAAAGCTGTAATATCGTTATGCACTTTATTCTAGAAACAACAGCAAATAACAGAAGTAGAAAAGTCCTACTCGACCTAGGCCTATGAAAACCTCATTCATTGAAAAATAATAATGCCTCTGCATTATAGTTTCTGAAAGGCCTTGTATCCAAAAAATACTGCGAGCGGAAATAGGGTAGTGGATAAAGGAAGCGAGCTAGGATGGCAAAATAGGTTTAGAACCACCGGAGCATAGGAGTCAGAATTACGTCCAGCAGCAAATGGATTATAATAGACCGAAAGAAAAAAAAAACATGAATCGATACTCTTGCAGAGGTGTCGATGCATCAGATCGTTGGCAGTTGGATCGATACATCGATAGAAATCGATTATTATTTACACCCCTAGTAGATAGAATAAAAAAGTGATAAAAGTCAAAACATTTACACTTCTGCAATAAGTGCAGAAATTAGAAGAAGTTTGACACCATAACAGTTCAAGCTGGATAGCTGTGTGGTTGCTTTGGTTTTGCTTGTAGTGATTCTCTGTAGGTGGGAGCTTAAGAAAGCTTGATCAATGATCTACTGAAAAAGGGAAGAAGGAGTGGAATAAGTTTCAGGACAGTTCGATGATTCTTTCAGCTCCTCCTCACTTCCCCTCCATCCTCTAAGGATGCTGGTAAGAAGGATGTTTCAGTTTCTACAGAAAGTCCATTGGACCAGTTCCACCATCACATCAGTGATCATCAATCTCATCCTGATAAGATCAGAAATCTGTACTCTGTGGAAATTCTAAGTTACCCACTCTCCTAAAACCTCTTAACATCCACCTCATTTTGGGAAATTCTCGCCTATTTTGCAAGCCCAAACAGAAAAGGAAATAACTTAGGAACTGTACGTCTAAATTACATGTGTGATACGTTATTTGAAAGCTAACACTGTCTAGTTTCTGAATATATACATGAAAATTGGGTGAGTAAAACACAGCCCAAGCTGCATCAAAGATGCATTCAAATATGACTCAAAGTTGTTTTTTTAATTGTTGAAAATAAGGTCTTTTTTGAACAGCAGTAATAAACACATGCTTGAATGTTGTATTGCTTTGTCCTGTTTACATTTTGACATGCTGCTATATCTGGGTTAATTGTGCTTTGGTGCTCGCTGTATTTTAGAAAACGAACTTGGTGGTTGAATTATGGATAATCTAAGCTTTCCAACAATGTCTAACATGTCTATATTGGTAAATATATTAGAGGTGTAATTTTCATTCGTTCTGTGTTATTAGTTGTTAAAGCTACAGTGTGTAACTTTTAGCGGCATCTAGCGTTCAGACTGCAGACTGCAGCAACATGAACATCTCCCCCCC